TTTAATAATTCATATGTAATAAAATTAATAAATAATAAATAATTTAATATACGTGATAAAAATCCGTAAAATTGCTTATAATTCAATGTGTAGTGTTCGCGTAAATATAAGAAATCATTATATTAATAGTCTCTTTGATGATATTACTACAATTTAGTTTAGGTATTAATTACGCTGTTTTACAATAAATGTATTTATTTATAATATTCTGAGATTCGGATTCGGAGTTCGGGGATTCTTTTAACTCAGGATAATTGAAAATAATAGTTTTTAAATGTTGTGAATTTCATATGCTTAATAACTTATTATTTAATAATAATATTAATAATTTCTATAATGATATATACCACAGTTCAGTTATGTATTATATGTTGAGATAGGTGGAATTCTGGGTTTCTTTTATTTTAGGATAATTGAACTCCAAACATTTAATATCAATAGCGTGTCTATGGTAGCCCTCCTTTACTGTATAGGAATCTGTTTGGACGAATATCACCCTTCGACCTACTCCTAGCAGCACACCTAATGTTGGTTTACTTACAATTACTGCAGACAAACAGATAAACACTTTAACACACACCGAAATTTCATATACTAAAATAATATGATAAATATTAATGAAAACTATTTCAAAATCAAAAAAAATTACATTATTTTCGCTCCTACAAATGGAAAACAATATAAACCTCATTCCAGTAAACACTGTCAAAAGTCAGTTACGCGCCATTTATTCGACGTTCCGTATTTATCAATGATATTCCCGCGCTACGTTTACAACGGCACTTTTATTATACAAGATTAATGGTGTACTATGTAGAAGATAGCTGGGTGCTACCATTTGCTTGGGATCCCATAATTAATAAAATTAAATCCCAACCCAAGCGTACAACTGCAAGACTTCAAGATACTGTAAGTTCATACTGCGTTGATCGGAATAAAAATTAATAATTTTTAATCTGGAGGTAACCGTGGTTAACCATGACATTGGGACGTCATACACCTCAGTCCTCCCCGTGATCATAGGTGCTGTAAAGTGCTCGAAACATCGGGAATATAAAATAAGTTAATATACGCGATATAATTTGTAAAATTAGTTTTATTTAAATGTGAGGTGCTCTCAAAAGTAAAATATTACTTTAATAATTTAAAATTTAACATTTTGTACAAGCTAATTCAATATATATTATTAAAAATAACTCAAAAACTATTCGCCAGACCTTGATCAATTTATATGGTATCACTTCTGACGCACCAGCTTTCAAATAATAAAAGAATCATCGAAATCAGTCCACCCAGTAAAAAGTTATGAGGTAACACACATAAAAAAACATACAGTCGAATTGAGAACCGTCTCCTTTTTGAAGTCGGTAGAAAATAGCCCCGCTACGCTTTATGACCGTTCTTCTTTATAAGATTAAGTTTACATAAACTGAGGCAGACGTGATAAAGTTTTTTAATAAGTCATAACAATAACAATTAAATTCGATATTTAAAGCAACCGTAGCCTAAAGATTGGGTGTGGACTGCAAACTCAAAGAGTCGTGAGTTCGAATCCGCCATTCGACTACTTTGGCGAATTACCCCAACACAATCAATTTAAGCATGCTTGGAGTGGTTGACGAGAATATTAGCAGTAAAAGCTCTTAATAGTTAATGCTTTGTAGAGACTGGCCGCCGTGATCGAAATTCGGTCTGGAGGACATAACTTTTTTTATTATTGTTAATGTTAATAGTGTAACTAGTACTTATTCTTTTTAAAATATTTAATTGTCTAATGGATTATAAAATTTAATAAAAATATACTAATCTATTAATTTTCGTATAATATCGAAATAATAAATGCAAGTTTATCGTAAAACTATTCGCTGTTTAGCCTCAGTTCAAAGTCAAAGTTTTTAAGGTGAAAGCCAGCAGGTGCCCGGCAGCGTTTAATCAAATGCAGGTGACGTAGTTTATATGACCCTACCGGCATTTAGCTGGGGAATTACAACTTTATAATTTTGACCCCTTGTTCACAATGCTTGTAATTTTACTTTGAGAGGAATAACATATTTTTTATAGAATGAGGGTGACAAACGGGAATATAGTCCACTTGATGGTAAGTGGTTACCGTGGCCCATATACAGCTTTATTTATCCTCGATTAAGAACAATAATGCAGATGTGTTTTCACCTCTGAGGACTAAGATGGAATGCCTCGTTTCCAGTAAAAAGGGGTTTACGGTTCTCTACACTCACCATACGAAAACACAGCAGTATTAGACGGCTAGTTTACGCCCGTATTTTGTGAGAACGTGGTCCTCACGGTCCTCGTGATCTGAAATTTATGAAACTAGTGGACACTGCGGTTGAAATTAAAATGGTAATGACGGTACTCTTGGTTACTTTTCACAGATCCTTATAAGATATCGGAGGAATGTTTTGCTAGTAACATGCCTGTGATCACCGAGGGGTTCAGCAGAAACCAAGGAGCAGCATGTTATTCGGACCAAATTTAGTCAAAAAAATAGATATAGATGGAAAATGTTGGAAGACCTACATAATCAGAAACCCAATATCGCGTTAGTCGCCTTTTACTACATGCTAGGCAAGTAACACAGTTGGAACATTCATTTTGTTTATAAATCCCACATAGATATGGGTAATATAGGTCCCAAAAAGTTCTCTTCATAAATCTATACGATAGAACCACACCAGCTCTTGCAATTGGCTCTTTAAGAATCATACTTTATTGAAACAAAATAATAGTTTTGGTTTGTTTGCCAAGTATTTATATTATTTTAATTGCAGTCTGGTGCTGGTGTAGAAATATCCAGTCTGTTCCTTGCCGTGGGTGTCGTCAGCGGCGGCTATAGGAAATAATAATAATGTCCTCCAGACCGAGTTTCGGTCACGGCGTCCAGTCTTAGTCAAATCTGCAGGACAGGATTATAGTGCCCGAGTGAATGCGCAACTACAAGTGCACTCTCTATTCCTTTAGAGTAAATATATTATTATAGTCCCATAGTCCAAGGTTATGGTTATCCGACATGACCGGAAAAACATCAGTCGCAGAATCAACGACTTTACGTGCTTTCCGAGGCACAGGACTATACATATGTTTAGCAGTGGTTTTGTAATTGGCTACAATGACAATATTGTTGAAAGATGTTCATTATAATATTAGCCCCGCCATTTTGGATTTTAGTTTAAAATAATGTGCTGGAATGTGATCGATGTGTGCTATCGTGAGCCGCATTGAAAAAGGTTCTTTTTTTTAAAGTTGGATAATATAATATAGAAAAATAGAAAGAAAAAGTTTATTCGTAGCTACAGAACAATACGCACAGCATCCAACTCAGTGTTATGATGCAGTGGAATAACCGCAGCGGTACCCTCATCTTAAACTTACAAGCCGAATAAAAGTTTTGCCTAGAAAACATAATATAATAAGAAGGAACACTTAAAAAAAAATACTCAATAATAATCACTTTAATATTTGTTAATCGTGCAGAAAAAAAAACGGATAACTCACCTATCATGGGGAATGTTTTTCTTTGTTACATCGCTACAAAATTTATGAGTATTATGTCTCTACATATACTCTGTAATACACTTTTTGTTATTGTTGAATATATGAAAAATTTTGTCACATTGCTTTTAATTGTAATAGATCATACTTTCTATATTTATTTATTAAGCATTTTTTATTATAGTAAGTATATATGTTATGGACCTAGTGATTAATCAGGGCAGTGATAACTTATCCTATTTTTATTACTCTATCTCTATCATAAAAGGTATTTTTAACCCTTGATAGATAACCTACGTCGAATCGACGTAATCGATTTTGACAAATCGATATAGCTCGTTTGTTTTTCGCGTCACTAAACTGGCCATTCCTGCCAACTCAGTAGAGATGCACAAAACACTGCGTTTTGCAAAGTGATGTAATATGACATTACATTTCGTGTACGTTACGTACGTAATGTTACGTTATACCATGACTCCAAACATGACGCGAAATGACGCGCCACAGGATGGCTATTGTAATGAACTACTCGCGTTGTAGAAGATATTTTTGCATTATCATGTGACAATCGCCAAACGCAATTCCCTCGCTACTTGCTGCGCTGGAATGTGCACTTGATTTTGTTATCATATTCATAAAGTCGATTTTTCTTCACACTTTACCCTAATCTACTGAACTATTCAAACAAAATGGCATTCCGGGCTTGTGACTGGCAATAAACATAGATTGCAATATTTATTATTGACCAATACTATGAATATTGGCGTCTTTAAAAATTTATTTTATTTACAGTGATTGTTTTTTTTTAATTTGTTTTACATTATGTATTTTGTTTTTTTTTTTATATCTAACGGTTTTGTTTTTATTTACATGGTATTTACAATTTTTAATTACAAGTAATAAAATTAATTGTAATAGTTTCTTTTTGTCTTCAGACATTTAAGAAAGTGATAGAGATAGCACGAGACGTAACGGCATCGTAAAAACATAAAATTGAGTAGCGTTTGAATATTTAGGCAATAGAGTCATAAAGTGTCAGTAAAACGTTAACCTTATTACATGAATGATACGATTCTAATTCTAAATAATAGTTCACTTATTTCTTAGTTAGCCGACCGGCGCATGTTCCTTCTCACCGAACAAAGCGCTGTGCGTCATGCTTGAGTGTCATGTGCTATGTTTGCTTTGGTCGAGTCATATACAATGCTACAGTACGCGGTCGGGTTATATGACGCGTAATGCAACAATCGCATCACTTACACAAGTCTACAACTCAGTCGGCCGTTGGAGCTTGCAGACACACCCACATCGCTCCGGTAAGTGCAATACTTTCGTCAATATTTGGCTGCCGTACATCGAAGTGACGTATGGTAATCTTTAGTTTCAGTTTTCCAACTTTTAAAAAAGGTGATAGTGCGACTTTTTGAGTGTAAAAGTACATATTTTTAATAGTTTTTTTTACTTTTTATAGGCCACGATAAAAGACCATAATGACGTCACGAATTCGTGCAGACGATGCAGAAATCAGTCGCTTGTTGAATGAAACGAGCGATGAAGAGATTCAGGTGTCCGATAGTGAAAATGAAGACAATTTATTAAAAGATGACTTACAAACAGATACTGAAGACTATGATGTGAGTGCTCAACCAGTGGTGAACCCATTGAATGCTGAAGATGTGTCAGAAAATGACTCTGAACCTTCTGAAAGTGCTTCGTCAAGTGTGCCGAGTTATATTATCATGCCACAGCGTCAAATTCTTAGAGGCAAAACGATCATCTTTGGACGGCCACTAAAGGCAGAACAAGTGGCAGAGTATCATCTGCTAATATTATACGGACATCTAGGGGTCCCACTCGGATGAATAAATGCCTTTATGAGGCTTTAAAATGTTTCAGTATATTTATTACTGATGACATTGTGGAGGAGATAACAAAATGGACCAACGCTGAAATCCAGCTGAAGATTCAAAGACCTGATGTTAAAACCACCTTTAAAACTACAACTTGTGAAGAAGTTCGGGCTCTTTTCGGCATACTGCCACTAACAGCTGCTATGAAGGATAATCATTTGACTACGGATGAGCTATTTGATTGTTCGTATTCAGGAAACAGATATGTTGCTGCCATGAGTAGAGATAGATTCGATTTTCTGATAAGGTGTTTGAGAATGGACGACAAATCTTTGCGGCCAGAACTAAGGGCTACTGATACATTTGTACCAATTAGAAAAATATGGGAGATCTTCATTATCCACTGCCGATCCAATTACATCCCCAGACCTTATGCAACCATCGACGGATAGCTTTTGGGTTCGATTCCGGGGTCGATGCCCTTTTCGGATGTACATACCTTACAAACCTAATAAATCATTACAATTTTTAGTCCGTATTTATTAGGTTTGTAACCTAATAAATACGGACTAAAAATTGTAATGACGTGTGACAGTGCCACATGATGCATGATTGATGCTATGCCATATCTAGGAAAATGCACTCAAACCAATGGTTTGCCTCTCGGTGAATTTTACGTAAAATAACTTACAAAAGCAGTTCATGGCAGTAATAGAAATGTCACATGTGATAATTGGTTCACAACAGTTCCATTAGCAAAAAATTTGCTAAGGCAGATATACAACTTGACCTTGGTCGGCACTATTAGGTCGAACAAACGGGAAATACCTGAAGAGCTGAAAAGAATACATTTCGGGCGAGTAGGAACATCCATGTTCTGTTATGATGGGCCGTTGACGTTAGTGTCGTACAAACCAAAACCGAGCAAGTTGGTGTTTGTTCTATCATCGTGTGATGAAGAGGGCACTGTTCATCCTACCACCGGCAAACCAAATATGATTCATTTTTATAATGAAACAAAAGGGGAACCGACAGTTTTGACCAAATGTGCTCGTCAATGTCGTGCAGCCGCAAAACAAAGAAGTGGCCCATGGCTATGTTCTATGGTATGTTGAATATGGCATTTATAAACGCATATATTATTAACTGTGATAATGTCCTATCCAAGAAAGAAAAACCACTGGGACGTAGAGATTTCATGAAAAAACTCAGCAATAGCTTGATGACCCCATGGATGGAGACAAGGCAGCAAATGCTTACTTTGCTGACGAATATAAAAGAAAAAATTGGTGGTATATTGCCAACTAGACCAGCCGAACCTTCCACACCACGTGAACACCAGGTACACCACCTGAACCAAAGAAAAGAAAATATTATGCCTTTTGTCCATCAAAAATTAGAAGGATGACAAAGACAATGTGCGACAGTTGCAAAAATCCCATTTGTGGAGAGCACAAGTCCAGTGCCTGTCCTATGTGCCTTTGAAGCGAAATTAGATAAAAAGTGATATTTCCTTAGGTTTTTGTATTACAAAGTTTACAAAAAGTTGATTTTGAAAAGTTTAGATACTAAATTATAAGACTGATGGAGAGATTTGGAATCTGTTTATGTTTCGTATTAGTAAGAAGTTCCTTTTTTTTCTTAATTTTTTTTGTAATAAAAATATAAATAAACACTTATGTTTTTCATTAAATCAGGACACAATTACATACATTAGGACAAAATACTACATTCATAAACCTAGTACATACATAATCTGAAATATGCTCACTCAAACATTCACACGTCGAGTCGACGTATGGTTATCTTTAGTATACAGTGAAATATGGTTATCTATCTAGGGTTAAAACTGTCTGTACATTATCAATAACGCCGTATTAACCACTTGGTCCACAACATATATAATGTTGATGCTCAGCAACAACGAACAATAAGTAACACAATGCGCGGTTGCCATACGAGTACGTTTATTTGTCACACAGAGTAAATTAATTACCACATGTAGCAAATTGAAATAAAAAAAAAAGAATTGTTAATTTGAATTTAGAATTTGAAGTTGTTTATTCATTTTAGTTAAAGCCTGTCAAAGTCCATAGATGTAAATATGCCTTCCATAAATTGCCTCATTAGGGGCTTATTTCCATAGCTGACACATATATATGCGGTAAAGCCATGCTGAAACTAGATTATGGTTGTAGCACGACTAGGTCTGCTCAAAGAAATACGAGGGGGTACAAAGCGTTACATCTCAGTGACAACGCATGTGCTTTTTAAGTATCTACGTCGATGTGATTAAGTGTAGAGAAAGAAAATACGAATGAATTTACAGTCGTGTCACAGTGACAAACAGCCTTTATTAAAGCTACTATAGTAAAGGTTTATTTCGGTTATATATTGGGACATTCTTAAAAAGAAGTCACGGGTGAGTAGAGTACACCATTAATTTTGTATAATAAATGTGCCATTGTAAACGTAGTGCGGGAATATCAGTGATAAATACGGAACGTCGAATAAATGGCGCGTAACTGACTGTTGACAGTGTTTACTGGAATGAGGTTTATATTGTTTTCTATTTGTAGGAGCGAAACTAATGTAATTTTATCGATTTTTTAAATGTTTTTCATTAATATTTATCATATTATTTTAGTATATGAAATTTCGGTGTGTGTTGAAGTGTTTATCTGTTTGTCTGCAGTAATTGTAAGTAAACCAACATTAGGTGTGCTGCTAGGAGTACGTAGAAGGGTGATAATCGTCCAAACGGATTCCTATGCAGTAAAGGAGGGCTACTATAGACATGCTAGCGACATTACATGTTTGGTGTTCAACTATCCTGAAATAAAGGAAACCCAGAATTCCACCCATCTCAACATATAACACATAACTAAACTGTGGTATATATCATTAAAGAAATTATTAATATTATTATTAAATAATAAGTTAATAAGCATATGAAATTCACAACATTTAAAAACTATTATTTTCAATTATCCTGAGTTAAAAGAATCCTCGAACTCCGATTCCGAATCTCAAAATATTATAAATAAATAGATTTATTGTAAAACAGTGTAATTAATACGTAAACTAAATTGTAGTAATATCATCAAAGAAACTATTAATATAATGATTTCTTATATTTACGCGAACACTTCACATTGAATTAAAACCAATTTTACGGATTTTTATCGCGTATATTAACTTATTTATTATTTATTAATTTTATTATGAATTATTAAACATTAAGCTACATAATACATCAACAATCACACCTGTCACCCAGAGGGGTAGGCAGAGAATATGGACTTCCATTTGGCACGATCATGACACACCTCTCTCGCTTCCTCCACATCCATATACCTACGCATACACGCTCGTCGGTTAAAGGTACTCTTGATTTGGCCCCATAGAATTATTAAATTCTATGTTTGGCCCATTTGAAATATATCAATACCTAGGGCGACCCTTCCCGACTCTGCCGTTCACCTCTGCAACATAAATTTGCTTTGTATATAAATTTGCTTTTTACATAAATTAGCTTTTGTGTACATTAAACTATTTAAAATTAAATATTACTTTATAAAAATTTACTTCATAATATATTATATAAATATTTAAATATTAAACTATTAATATTATTATTAATTAATAAACGTACGTAATTGGTAATATTTTAAATGTAATGTTTATTTTTTTATTTGATCTTCATAATTAATATTATAATGAAATGAAATACACTTTATTGTACACCAAAAAAATACATATGAGAAGAAAAAAGAACATAGTTTATTTAAAGGTACAATTGGCGGCCTTATCGCTTGGGAGCGATCTCTACCAGGCAACCACATTGCAGAGGATAAAATGACCTGTGAGAAAGGGTTATAAATATATATAATATATTACATATTATATTATCTATGTAATTAATCGTAGTTATCACTCACTCACACACACACTTATGATATCTGTTCGAGACAATGGAAAAACTACGTGTCATATCATCTATAACAGAAATACACGTTCTCCACAGTGGGCATTTATTGTTACAAGATATTGATTTTGACAGACCTCAATAAACACAGATACCGAAGAATAAAAGATAGCTCTGGTGTATTCTTTAAAACATAAAAGATTCAATTTGTATTGGCCACCATGTTTTATTCTGAATTGTGCTCACACAATGAGCATGTAAGTGGTTTTTCGTAATGTTAAGAGAGATAAGATAAATTGCTACTCGTATCTTCATCAAGAAAAATTTAGCATTTCTAATATTACATAACCGTTCATTTAACGAATATAACTTAATGATCGTTTAGTTATTAATAGTTTTTAGTGAAATTGGCTTAAATTATTTATTTATTTTATTTATTTATTAATAACAGCCACCAAATCTTACACCAAAAACTTTAATTTCTTAAGCTATCATCTAAGATTTAAGCTAAGTGCAGATTCAATTACAGGCTGCCACGACTTGCATATGTGATTGTTTAATGTTTATTAAAAAGTATTAAAATATAAAAAATTAAAAAAACTAAACTAATCCAAAATTATTCCGCACTCAAACTTGCACCTACAACTAACTTTCTGAATTTAGAGAGGCTATTTGAAAAAAATGTCTACGTTCGTTTTATTCTGGAGTTCATTGTATTGTCGTTGCAGCCTGTTCATGATCGCGTGATGGCCGGGATCGCTTTTGGATCCCTTGGTAGAAATGGTGTGTATTTCCCTTTTCGTGAGATTTTATAGGGTATATTAAACCAAAGCTGTTCCAACAGTCCAGGACAATCCAGACCACCTCTTACAATTTTATATAAAAACAAATGATCTAATATAAGCCTCCTATTTTTTAAGCTTTTCATTTTGAATTTTGAAAGTCTATCAACGTACGAAGGCAACTGCTTAGCTAGACCGGATTGAAATGAGACATGCCATAAAAATCTTTTCTGCACACGTTCTAGTCGCTTAACATATACTTCGTAGTGTGGTGACCAAACCGGGCTGCAATACTCCAAAATCGAACGAACGTTTGCATTATATAATAAAGTTTTGGTTGCTATTATGTTGCAAACAACACAATTTCACTTTGTAAAATATATTTTGTACGTTCATTCATTTATTATAGCCCATCAAAAGTACACCGCGCACTGCGCCGGCCTCCCTAGAGTTTCCACGGTTATCAACCACAGGGTCTTTTATTATAATTGAGTTGTTGTCTAGGAGATGCTGCTGCCCATCTGCCGTTTCTATGTCCCCCTGTCTCCTCTTACGACACCCACGGGATGATATGTGGTAGTCGATTCTCTTAGGTCGCCACTATACGGCTGAACATAAAAAATATAATTTTATAAAATTTTAAGCAATAAATAAAACGTCGTACAATAATAAACGTTGGGAGGTTTTTTTTTATAGTATAGAGTGACAAACGAGCACACAGTCCACCTGATAGTAAGTGGTT